TCATTGACTCACTCACACGCTCCCTGACACACTATTAACTCAGTCACACGCCCACTGACACACTCATTAACTCACTCACACGCTCACTGACACATTCATTAACTCAGTCATACGCCCACTGACACACTCATTAACTCACTCACACGCTCACTGACATATTCATTAACTCAGTCACACGCTCACTGACACATTCATTAACTCACTCACACGCTCACTGACACATTCATTAACTCACTCACACGCTCACTGACATATTCATTAACTCACTCACACCCTCACTGACATATTCATTAACTCACTCACACGCTCACTGACACATTCATTAACTCACTCACACGTTCACTGACACATTCATTAACTCACTCACACGCTCACTGCCACATTCATTAACTCACTCACACGCTCACTGCCACATTCATTAACTCACTCACACCCTCACTGACACATTCATTAACTCACTCACACCCTCACTGCCACATTCATTAACTCACTCACACCCTCACTGCCACATTCATTGACTCACTCACACCCTCACTGACACATTCATTAACTCACTCACACGCCCACTGACACATTCATTAACTCACTCACACGCTCACTGCCACATTCATTAACTCAGTCACACGCTCACTGACACATTCATTAACTCACTCACACGCTCACTGACATATTCATTAACTCACTCACACGCTCACTGACATATTCATTAACTCAGTCACACGCTCACTGACACATTCATTAACTGACTGACACGCTCACTGACATATTCATTAACTGACTGACACGCTCACTGACACATTCATTAACTCACTCACACGCTCACTGACATATTCATTAACTCAGTCACACGCTCACTGACACATTCATTAACTGACTGACACGCTCACTGACACATTCATTAACTGACTGACACGCTCACTGACACATTCATTAACTCACTCACACGCTCACTGACACATTCATTAACTCACTCACACGCTCACTGACACATTCATTAACTCACTCACACGCTCACTGACACATTCATTAACTCACTCACACGCTCACTGACACATTCATTAACTCACTCACACGCTCACTGACACATTCATTAACTCACTCACACGCTCACTGACACATTCATTAACTCACTCACACGCTCACTGACACATTCATTAACTCACTCACACGCTCACTGACACATTCATTAACTCACTCACACGCTCACTGACACATTCATTAACTCACTCACACGCTCACTGACACATTCATTAACTCACTCACACGCTCACTGACACATTCATTAACTCACTCACACGCTCACTGACACATTCATTAACTCACTCACACGCTCACTGACACATTCATTAACTCACTCACACGCTCACTGACACATTCATTAACTCACTCACACGCTCACTGACACATTCATTAACTCACTCACACGCTCACTGACACATTCATTAACTCACTCACACGCTCACTGACACATTCATTAACTCACTCACACGCTCACTGACACATTCATTAACTCACTCACACGCTCACTGACACATTCATTAACTCACTCACACGCTCACTGACACATTCATTAACTCACTCACACGCTCACTGACACATTCATTAACTCACTCACACGCTCACTGACACATTCATTAACTCAGTCACACGCTCACTGACATATTCATTAACTCAGTCACACGCTCACTGACATATTCATTAACTCAGTCACACGCTCACTGACATATTCATTAACTCAGTCACACGCCCACTGACACACTATTAACTCAGTCACACGCCCACTGACACATTCATTAACTCACTCACACGCTCACTGACATATTCATTAACTCAGTCACACGCTCACTGACACATTCATTAACTGACTGACACGCTCACTGACACATTCATTAACTGACTGACACGCTCACTGACACATTCATTAACTCACTCACACGCTCACTGACACATTCATTAACTCACTCACACGCTCACTCACACATTCATTAACTCACTCACACGCTCACTGACATACTCATTAACTCACTCACACGCTCACTGACACATTCATTAACTCAGTCACACGCCCACTGACACATTCATTAACTCAGTCACACGCTCACTGACATATTCATTAACTCACTCACACGCTCACTGACACATTCATTAACTCAGTCACACGCCCACTGACACATTCATTAACTCACTCACACCCTCACTGACATATTCATTAACTCAGTCACACGCCCACTGACACACTATTAACTCAGTCACACGCTCACTGACACATTCATTAACTCAGTCACACGCTCACTGACACATTCATTAACTGACTGACACGCTCATTGACACATTCATTAACTGACTGACACGCTCACTGACACATTCATTAACTCACTCACACGCTCACTGACACATTCATTAACTCACTCACACGCTCACTGACACATTCATTAACTCACTCACACGCTCACTGACATACTCATTAACTGACTGACACGCTCACTGACACATTCATTAACTCAGTCACACGCTCACTGACATATTCATTAACTCAGTCACACGCTCACTGACATACTCATTAACTGACTGACACGCTCACTGACACATTCATTAACTCAGTCACACGCTCACTGACATATTCATTAACTCAGTCACACGCCCACTGACACATTCATTAACTCAGTCACACGCTCACTGACACATTCATTAACTCAGTCACACGCCCACTGACACACTATTAACTCAGTCACACGCTCACTGACACATTCATTAACTCAGTCACACGCCCACTGACACACTATTAACTCAGTCACACCCTCACTGACACATTCATTAACTCACTCACACGCTCACTGACACATTCATTAACTCACTCACACGCTCACTGACACAATCATTAACTCACTCACACGC